GCTGAAAAGCATCCACTCAGAGCTGAAAGCACCAAATAAAACACTGTGACTGTGCACAGCTTGTTCTTGTTTGGGAGAGTCCCAGATCCAGTGCTTCTTCTCTCGAAACCCAAACTGCTGGAGTCTTCTGCAACATCTCATCTTTGGCTTCTCACACTGAACTGGCAGCTGACTAAGGTTGGCATCACTGTTTTGTGGGCCTAGGGTTTTACCTTGTTGACTTCTTAGCAGCTGAGTGCCCACAGTTTTGATGGAACTATAATTTCCATGTTTTTCCACGGTCCCTTGATCAGCCAATAGCTACTGTGCAGTGCAAACTGCTGACGTGCTTATGTTTCTGCACTCTAAGTCCTTACAGTTTCCAATTTTCAGTTTATTTCTTATCATCCATGGACTCCAGATCCACAACACACCACCTGCCTTCATCATGACCTCTTCTCTTCGACTGCACTTCTGGACAGATGAGATCTTCTGCCTGCTGAAATTCCTAGTACCACACCTGGGTTGTCCCTGGTCCTTTAGCACCTGCCCCACATCAAGAATATGACTGGTTCTAAGCTTTGCCATTGCCCAGGACTGTGTGTGTGTGTGGTGTATGCACACACCAAAAATCTATTCTTTAACTTTAAACACAGAACAATGTTCTACTGTGTAATTTTTTACTGTAGAGGATACAAATGCTTTGGGGAACAAATACAAAAATGTTTACAAGAAGAAAAAAATCCTATGGACTTGCTGGAGTTGACTTTTTGCCCCTGCTGTCAGAGATGCCACTACAAAACACCACTAACTACAGACAACACTTGGCTTTGAAAGATTTAAAGAAAAACTCCCAGAACAGTTAGATAGAGCTAAGGAAGTCACATATTTCCTTATTTGGAAGCTTAAGATAAACTGGTAATATTGCTTCATTTTAAATATTTATAAATATTGAAAGTCTTTCTCTGATTCATATAGTTAACATTTTCATAATGCCTGAAAGGTCACAACAGCACTTCTACCTTTTAACCTCTCATAATTTCAGACTCCCACTGTTCTCCAGGGTCTGAGAGAGTCTGAGAGTTGATGAAAGCTGGGTTTGTTAACTTCTACCCCCATCCACACTGTTTTGATAGATTGACACACTTGAGCTCCTAGTACCAAGAACTGTCCAAGTGAAGAAGTAAGATGACTTTCCCAGAGCTCCACACTCGCCTCCCATCACCCATCACTTGACTTTCCAAAAGCTCCGCCCTTGCCTCCTAGCCCCACCCTCACCCCCAGCCCCACCCCGCCCTGCCTCCCAGTACCCAGCATTCATTTTGTGTGCAGGGTCATTCAGAGACTTAGGACAGCCCCATGAGACTTATACACCATTTATACCGAGTTAGTAAAGAGTCCTGCAGCAAAGACCTTGCATAAAAATAATTATCTTGAATTGTTTAATGTAAAGGATGTTTTTCATATTGAAATTGATTAGGCTATTAATCTTGTAAAAATCACTTTTACTTTTATAAAAATATGGTTTTTTTTTTTACTCAACTTTGTGCTTCATCTGTAAAACTTTAGAAGTTATATAAAAGATATGTTAAAGCACAAAACTAAAATCACCAACACATTTCACCCACTTCCTACGAATTACATTTTCTTGCTGGATACCCTTATTCATCCAAATGCTCTGGCGCACATGCTGACACCCAGTAACTGCGTACGCTAACCCCAAAACAGACTGGTCCATTCTGGTCAGTCATTCCTGCTACACAATTCTGTGGTCATAAACTTCAGCCTGCATATCCAAAACCACTTATTTTAAAAGGCCAGATGGTGAAACTGCTGAAAATCAACTAGTGATGGCCATTAAAAGGGGAGTGGGAAAATTCTCACATCCTTTCACATCTACTTGTACCTTTAAAGCAGAGAAACAATTCAATATATGTAATATAGGCATTCAACATACATAGAATTTGACCCAATAAGAAATGTACAAAAAATATATGTGAATAAAAGAATTACAAAATTAATTAATTACTGAGGAATGTAAAAGGTCTAAATAGGGAAAACCATATTCCGTACTTTCATACAGGGCCCATTATTATAAAAATGCCAACTAATTACCAAGTTAACCTACATGGTAAAACATTTCTAGTCAAAATTACACATTTTTAAGAAACCTGATAAATGTATCTAGAATTTTATTTGGATGGAAAAATGTTTAAAATTACCACAACCTTAAAAACAAAATAAAACCCAGAAAAGCTGTAACATGAGAGTACAGAAGTACTTGTCCCTCCATGTGGCAGACTGCATTGTAAGGATACTGAGTTATTTAGTCTATGCCAGTGAGGGGAAACTCAGCTGTGCCAAACAGGGTCAGATCAACAGATACAACTAAGTAAAACAGTGAAACATCAGAGGAAGAATGACCATGTGAAGAGACAGTGCTATATAAGACAAGGGTTTATGTCCATAAAATATAAGAAGTTTTCACCAATCTTTGTTTTTTGTTTGCTTGTTTTTGTTTTTGTTTTTGAGACAGGATCTCACTATATAATCCTAGCTGTCCTGGAACTTACTTTGTACACTACACTGGTCTCAAACTCACAGAGATCTGCCTGCCTGTGCCTCCTGAGTGCTGTGACTGAAGGTGTGCACCACTCTGCCCAAAACCAATCAATTTTTAAAACTACTAGGATAGCTATATGAGCGTATAACTGATTATGTGTTATAGGAAAAGAAACCCATTACTCTCAAGAGGAAACGAAAATCTGAGCTTTAAGTTTTTATCATTTAACACTGGCAAAGATAAAAATGTAAAATTCATTACTAGCAAGTTGTGGATAAAGAGACACTCGCATAGCAATGATGGAAGCACAATGTTTCCTGCCTTTTAGAATGTGATTTAGCAGCAATTAGCATTAGATTGAAACATCACATCTGCACACTCCCTGCTCTCACAATTTGTATGTTGGGATCCATTCCACAGAAGAATACATACAAGACTGTAAAAGGTATGTGTAATTGGGGCTGGAGAAGCCTCAATGGTTAGGAGTGCATACTGTTCTTGCAGAGGACCCTAGCTCAATTCCCAGCACCCATGACAGGTGGCTTACAGCTGCCTGTAACTCCAGCTCCAGGAGATCTGACAAAGGTGGCCTCCGTGGGCACGAAAACATATATCTATACAAAAGACACATAGATTTAATTAAAAATAATAAATACTTTTAAGTGTATGCCATAATGTTCACATACTAGTATATGTAAACGTTTTAAACTGGCAACAACCAAAATGACACTGCAAAGTGAGGAGTTAAGGTGAATGATGGCCTCTGATGTACCCCACAGTGGACTAACTTGGGCAGCTCTCTGTGGAAACATGGTGTTTCACCACCAACAAAGGAATTTGGAAAAACAGTTTGTGAAGCATGACCTCATGTCTGTACATGTAAAGATAAGTCTTTGGAAGTTTACAAGTCAGTAATTTACCTCCTTCTGTATCAGAATACCTTCACAGAGAAATTTGTTCCTTTTCGTATTAAAAGACAAGACTAGGGGGAAAGAACACAATATTGAATTAAATACTATAGTCAACCTAATGTTTTTTTCTGAGTGTTTTCTTCCTTTTTTCTAAAGGGTATGTGGTTATTTTTTTAAAATCTCACCAACAAAAGTCTTTTTTTTTTCACCTCTTAAATTCATCATTTTCTAAGCACTCACTGGATACATTAGACTCTAGGGATAAAAAGTGGAAAAGACATTAGCCAGCAAGGGACAGAGCAGGTTACAAACACTACAACCGTGTGTTCTGGCGCTACTGTGACAAAAGTGGATGCAGTGAAAAGGAATGGACAGGCCGTTCTCCTTGGAAGAAAAGATGACAGAAAAGACAAGCTTACATGTGCACTGAATTTTCAAGATAAATGTAGTCAGATAACAAGAGAAAGCAAGAAGGTGGAAAGATATATGCACATCCATTAAAGAGGTATGCATATAACATGTGTGCATATATACATGCACATATGCATACTTAAGCAGAACTGCTGGAGAAAGTGCTGTGGAGATAAAACAGTGAGACCTTTGTATACCAGGCATCTAACCAAAGCAAGATTCAAAGCTATAATCTCACCTCCAACATTCACCTGCCATGTTCTCGTCATTTTGCATTGTTTTTTGTTGTTGTTGTTTTGTTTTCTTACAAAGGTTTACAAAAAAGTTTTAAATGAAGGTTGATGGGGAATGTACTGTGTATGTTTATCTTATTGATTGTTAAATAAAATACTGTTTGGCCAATGAGACAGCAAGTTAGACAGGATGAGGAGCCAAAGAGGATTCTGGGAAATGTAGTAGAGAAGTGGTGATCCAGGCAGGAAGTGACATAGTAAGGAGACTCATATTTAAGCGAAGGAGAAACAGGAAGGGTCCCTTTTTTCCACTCTTCCTCCAGCAGTGCAATGTGATCCACTGGCAAGGAGGGACGCCAATAAGGTGTCCGATAAGTCTTATAAAATATATAGATTTATGATAATTAAGACTGAGCTAACAGATGAAGAAACCTAGTCATTGGCCAAGCAGCATTTGAACCTAATACAAGTCTCTCTGTGTATTAATTTGGGCTCTAACTCAGGCGGGTGGCTGGCATAAAGCACACATTTGGCGAAGGGGCTCAGGCGGCTTTTGGTGGAAAGATTTATCGTAACGGAAGGTCCTCTTTTGAAATCCTATTTTATTTCTTAACTAAAAGACAAAACACCTTGCAAATGCAAAGTTTATGTTTCACTGCTTGGATTCTGACAGTTTTGAAAAGCTACCTTACACTGTAGATTTAAAACTCAAATGTGTTTGAGTTCAACACAAGACTGCCCTAGGGCAAGCTGCTCACAACAGAGCTGGAACACTTCAGTATTTTCAGGGCATGCAGGCGCTAGTGCACGTGCACGCATACATACATACATACATACATACATACATACATACACACACACACACACACACACACACACACACACCCACCCCAGGTTCCTTACCTCATGCAATGTGAGGTGTTTGCCATCCTTTCTCTTGGAGTCGAATCGCCCATAGATGGCACTGTACTTCCGAATCTCCTCTTCTTTATGTGGATCTTCATCACTCATCTCGAAGATGTGACCAATCATTTTGGCCAACTTCTTATTGTTCTTGAGCAGCTCTTTCACTTCATTCAAGTCACTTTTGGGCAGCGTGGAGGCCATCCGCTCCACACACTCAGCCACAGAGAGTGCAGCGGCAGCATCCAGGGCCTCACTGCTTTCCTTTGGAGAGGCTGGGGAGCCCAGGTCTGCTGGGGAGAGGCTGTGCTCACTCTCAGTGGCATGGTGTCCTTGCCAGAGTCTGGACTCACTGACACTCTGCAGTGCCAAACTTCCCACCTCTGACTTGCCCTGACCCAAGCTCTGCACACATGTGGTGGCCGCACACTTAGGGATTTTTAAATGCGGTTCCCGCACACTGCTATTCCTTTCATAACTATTGCAAGATATCCCCAACCATGTTGGTGATCCCTCTGGTAACTTATAGATGGGTATGCTACTGACAGGAAGGGAAGTCAGTGGCTGATTGAAAAGGCCAGGGTTTGTAACCCAGTCTCTCAAAGCCTTCTGTAGCCTTCTGACGTGAAGGGGCTTGCTTGCCATGCCCACGAGTGCCATGATTTCCAAAAATTCCTCTTCTCCAGCCTCACAAAGTTGCTGGACATCATCGCCACCTTGTTGAATGAAGGCATCAAAGTAAGAAAGCAGGTTGGCTTTCTGCAATATTCTATACAGCTGCAGCTCCCCCAAGGTCCTGGGTAAGGCTGTGGCCATTACTGTGGATGGGCTTAACCTACAAAGAGAAGAGAGAAAAGACTCACCACACTTGCTTCAAGCTTCACAAGTAGGTTGAGACACTGCAAGATTTTGACAGGCAACACAGGCAGAAGAAGACCCAACGCATCTGCAGAGCAACTGATAGTTAAGGAGGCTCTCTCCCAACACTCATATTTTATCGAAGTCTGTACTCAAAGTCAGTTGCTAAACTGGCCTATGTTCTCAAAGGAAAACAGCCATTAAACACGGACTGGGAACCGAGACCAACGCTCACAGGGTTTATCCCACATTGTCATCTTTATATTTTCTTCCCTTCACAGTGTGGACATGGTGGTGAAGAGGAATAAAAATTAGCAGGAAGAAAGAAGTCATTACAATACCATTCACTGAACCCTTGTCTGTGCCTGGCAACATGATAAACACTATCATATTATGTCTAATCTCCATGTAAACCCCCCGAGACATACTATACATCTCACTCTAGAATTTAGCCAGCAAAGAGATTTCAATATGAATTGAAGGTAAGAAAATAGGTAGCATAGTTAGAGATGGATGGGGTGAGGGAAGGAACTGTGAAATGTATGATCACTCAGACATATGGGATACGGAAGGGAACAGAGTTATCATTTATCAACAATTCCCCTGTGTTCAGGAAGGAGAGGTGGCAAGTACCCCATTAAACAAAGCAACCTTGTAACCAACACACCCATAAATTGAGAGGGGGCAATGACAGAGAGCCAACACCCTCACACCCTGGGGGGGGGAACAGAAGACCAATTCTACTATAGAGGGCAGATGACTGGAGGCAACAGAAGCAGAGACGCTTGGAGCACACTGGAAGACAGAAAGTCACCATGTTCTGACCTGTTTTCAAAAAGTACCAACTAGAATGCTATAGAAATGACAATTTCAGCCCCCTTCCCTGATACAGAAGGAGTCTATTACTCTGAGAACTGCGTACTCAGCACTATCTCCAGGGACCTCTGAAATCCACATTTTGATAAACTAGCAACCTCCTCCAACTCCATGGCTCTCGATTTACACTGACTAGTATAGGCATGACCTCATGAATTTCCAACAGATTGAAAAAATGTTAATGAGTGTTCAGTGGCTTCTGCTAACACTTAAAAAGGAAAAACATCCAGCGTGCTTTTGAAAAACATTTCCTCAGTCCCTCAGCCCCATTGTGTGAGACTCTGGATTTGGCAAATGATGCAAACTTACAAGAAGATTCTCAAGTCTATACATCTAGGCCACAAAAAACTGCACGTTCTGTGAGTGCCTCAGAACTTCAGGTCTACCATTGCAATCACACCATCTCACTCCTCCGAGTAAAACCTTCTGTCTTCTAAGTCACCTCAGTGAGGACCCACCTAATTGGACACTAACCCCCAAAACACAGCCTTGAGAGTGCCTGCAAGTATAAGTGTGCATTGAAGCCCACTGTAGCAAACAGAAGGACTTCTGGAGTATATCGGGGGCAGGAGCAAAACAAAACAAAAACACAAAACAAAACAAAAAAGAAAACTTACTTTCTCATCATTTACCTATGCTCTCACATTAGTACAGAAAAAAATCCACATGAATAAAAGTATGTATATATAGTCTTTTCTGGAAGAGGACTGCAGCCTTGCAGGGCCTACTGAATGCTATACTAACTCACCGTATTTTTTTTTTTTCCCAGATCATTGGCTATAGGAAACAGTTCATGGTAACATTTCACTAACTCACCGTATTTTTTTTTCCCAGATCATTGGCTATAGGAAACAGTTCATGGTAACATTTAGATTAAAAGAACCCTTTAGTCATTTTATAACAATGAGAGAAAAAGAGTATTTATTAGACACATATAAAAATACTAAAGGATGTTAGGACCCAAAAGACTGGAACTTAGATTGTAGTCTTCTGAGGCAATGGTTTTACAAAATAGCAGTTTTCAAGTTTTATCCTTTCTCTTGTACTTTTCCAAACCTCCTAGCTCTTGAGAGAAAGTTCTCAAGGACTGGGGAAAACAGTTAACAATATAAAGAATGGTGGGAACAAGTGTACATTTCCAAAGCCAAAATAACAGACAAAAGACGGACATACTACTCAGAACCCTAGAAGGCTTTCTGAAGACCCCCACCTGCAGCGCCTGCACTGTGGGGAAAGTAGGTCTCTCCCCAAGCTTTCCTGCTGGACCATTGCAGAGTCTCCTCCAAAGCCCGCTGCGATCATTTAAACACCCACCACTTCATACATTCACTTGATTCAATTTAAAACTCCTATGAGATTTTCTGTTTCCACAGAACCATTCATGCTTCATTATGAAGGTCAAATTAGCTGAAAAGAAGCTGTGCCTGAGTCTCTCTCTGAGCTGAGTATCAAGGGGTCCTAACACACTGACACATACGGGCGGCTGATGATTCAATAAATCCACTCAGCTAAAAGCGACTGTGATGGCTGTCCTATGACACTAATGGAGCACCAAGTCAAGCCTGGCCTTTTCATAAAATCCATGGTTTAAAGAAACAATTGACTCATTCTTGCTGTTTTTCAAAGGTAACCCATGCCCTGGTGCCCCTGTAAAGCATGCAATTCTTACACCTGGGTCGGTGAGAAGAACCACAGCATTAGAGGAATTTAAAAACAGAAAAAAAAATTAAGTAACAATTAGTTGTAGACTGCTTATTGTTCACTAAATGGTAACCTCACACAGTATTCCTAAGCCTCACACAATGTTTCTCACAGTGGCCCGGTGAGTAGCATCGGTCACCTGCCTGGCTCAGGCTGTGCTAAGTGAAATGAACAGCTGTTTGGTCACAGCTCATCTTTTACTTGCTGGGGGAACAGAATTTTTCCAGGGTTGGGGCTGAAGATTCAGGGTAAGACACAGGGGGGCTCTCACAGTCATCAAGCCTACTCTGTCAGGACCCACTGGGCTATCCAAAATCTCAGGGGCTACAGAGTTTTCATCAGGGCTTTCCTGCAATCTCCCTGCCATTTGCTGTGCCCTAAGACATTGTCATTTGAGTCTGGTCAGGGCACACTAATTTCCTTCCCGCACTATATTCTAAGTTCAGGCACTCTTTGAAGATGTTAGCGTGGAAGGGAATTTACTATGATGGCTGGAGTAGTCTTGGGTGGGCCTCTGCCGCAGCCTCCTTGGTTAGTGCTGAGATTTCAGTACAGGTGTAGGACACCACCAATATCTCTGCAAGTTCTGAACTTCTTCTCTTTTCTAGTCCGTTGCATTATTCCTTCATGTTCTCTCCTACATCCAAGGGTCAACTGTTATTGCAGGCAGTCACCAAATCTGAGTCTGTGGCTTTGACCAGGATTTCTTCAACCTGTTCTACTTGCCACTCCTTTCTGAGAAATTGTTAAAGAGACACTAGTGTACACACACACATATTTAGTACATATATATATATATTGCACATATATATAGTACACATACATATATATGTATATATATGACAATACAAACCAACATTTACTGACAATAAATCATAAGGAAGCCTTTTTAAAAAAACAACTCTTTAGTAAACATGTAATTTTACATTTAGTAAAGATGAATGCAAATTTATATACTAAGGAGGTGGAGTGCCTGTCTTTACATAAGGAATGAGCCTTGTTTGAGTGTGTGAAGCTGCAGGACACACACAGCACCTGCACAGGTTTTCAGAGCTGATCAATATTCTTATTTTATAATCATCCATGCTCGGTATGATGCTTCACATAAATATGTAAAACAAAATGGCAGCAGTGTGTTTAGGGCCATTTCAGAAACTGTTAGAAATCCTGTCCCAATCTTAAGCAAAACTTATTTAATAAATTTGTGTGTTTATAAAACTTGTCAGCAACTCAAAACAGCAATTTTTAAACTCAAACACCCTAACATAATCAGTCCACAGACATGCTAATTAGATACTAGCCCACTACAGAAGGATGGCAGAATAACAGTCTTTGTTTTCTGCATCTAAAATATTAGTTTCTATAAAAGCAGAAAACTTTGTCTATACAGTAAAAACAATGTAATTCATAAACTGTAATAGTCTCAAATGACTCGGGTTTCTAGTTGCTCTTGTGGATATTCTGTGGAGTGAAGGCTAAGCGGTACAAATGTGTGTGTGTGTGTGTGTGTGTGTGTTGTGTGTGCGCGCACGCATATGTTGTGTTCAGAACCAAGGCCTCAGTAAAGAAGCACCTCAGCTTCATTACACCTTTAATTATAAATCTTTTATTTATTTTTCTGATTCTTGTTGAGTTCAGAAACCTTTTACTATTGCCAAAACCTACACTGCCCCACACACTGAATTACATGATCCTGCATGGGGTCATGACCTATACTTTAAGAACCTGTGGCTTAGTGGGGATATGGAGTCACTACAAAGAGATCTCAAAATAAAAATTAAGTTTTCACTACAAATTATTAAAAATATGTTTCTAGCTTCACAAGATACAAAGTGATCTAAAGTGTAACTAAATTTGTTACTTTGAGAACATTCCATGTATTTATCAATGAACAATGCTAGAAGTAAAGTAACCCTGAGTATTTGCAGAATTTTATTTTAAAAAGTGATTCTCAGACCTAAAATACTTGAGAATGATGAGCCTGAATTGTTCTTCTGATTTGGCATTACCCAAGAGACTGCCAAACCTGAGGACTGCCACACCGTGCTTAGTGAGCCCCGAAACATGGCATGGCCTCTTCTTCTTCCTGTCTTCCAATTCCCAGATCTGTTCTTTGCAACCCCTCCAGTCTTTTTCATTGCACTAATTTTCCTTTTTCTCCGATTAATAAAAATGTTTCCTTGTTTCCTCCGTTTCTTTTTTCAAAAAATCTACATGTACTTAGGCAGTATCATCAGCCTCTTTTTCTCTTTCCCCAAAGCACCCAATTCTAGTTCTCATTGCTTCCCCCACCCCCACTTCAATGAAGACATGGCATTTCACTCTTTGCAAGTTTCCTCACTGTTTAACACAAGCCATCTAAACTACTCATATAGGCATCCTCCACCTAAACCTGCCTTC